CTTGTAACATACACAGTTAAAACTATAGCATAGCGATATTTTACTTGTAACATACACACTTAAAACTATAGCATAGCGATATTTTACTTGTAACATACACAGTTAAACAAGAGAGTATAGTAATATTTACTGTCCACCGTACAAGAGCCTGGGATGGACTGGTGGTTAAAGCGCTTGACTCGCAATCTATTGGTCGTAGGTTCGAATCCTCCTAACCGAGCATATTCGCTCTTTCATTCGTGGGGTTGTTTTAATGCGAATATCAATCCCAATATTCGCTGGTGTTTTTGGTTCAAGTACACAAGAACAAGCCATGCAGACATTTTGCTGTCAAACCACGCAGCTATCCTTCCCGTGGGCAGATCGCCCTTCCGTTTTATCCTACGATATCTCCCCTCATCATTGACGGATACAAGCCCTAAATATGTCTAATCCCCGAAGCCACGAGGAAACTACGTAGGGGAGGAATTCAACCTACAACCCGTGACTTACGATGTTCTCAGATCCTTATGCAGCCCATGAAACTCAAGCCTCTCAGTTATTTGTCAAATCCCTAAAAACCAAGCCAGCCTCCACACAGTCTTCGTGCGAAATGTAGACTTTACTCTCACCACAGATGAAATATTTTTTTCCCTCAAGTAAGACACTATCTCTAAAATTCATGATTACCCAAAGAATCATTTCAAAGAAACACGGAAAGCACTACATGCAGCTCGAGGAAACGGAAAGCACTACATGCAACACGGAAAGCACTACATGCAGCTCGAGGAAAATTACAGATTACATATTCTCCCGTGGATGCTTCTTCCATTTTTTCACTTTAAATCAGGAATTACTGTTGTGTTAACTGTAGACAAACACCTAAACGATAGAATATGAAGATGAATTGCCGCTGTATTTACTCCTATATATTTATTCCTATCACTGCATTCTGAACACTAGTTTTATTCCATTTTGTAGCATATTGAACAAGATTCTTGCTACCTTTTATAGGACTAATAACTTTACAGAATATCACAACCTTAACAAAAACTATCATTTCTTAGCTATTTCTAAGGCAATAACGAACATCTTTAAAATAGCGAACACTGTAAGTTTTACTTTCTGTTAGTTAATTTGTTTGTTTTGTTGATTGTCGCGCAAATCTATTCGAAGACTACCTGCTTTAACTGTCCGTAACTTAAAAGTGATAGACTAGTAAATTCCACCTACCGCCAGTTCGTGGGCTGCTCTTTATCAACGAAACGTGGGATTGACCGTCGCATAATAACGCCCAAACGGCTGAAAGGCCAAGCGTGTTTGGTGACAGGATTCAAACGCGCGTTCCGCTAATTAAACTTATGACTATAATTAATGCAAGCTGTGTAACAAACAGTTACTTATATGGTATAATATTAGTATTACGTCATTATTTTAGTTATATGAGTTAATAAAGAATAACGTAACTAAACTAATTATTGTTGTTACTTCTTATTTTGAGTTTTATTTTTACTGTGGTTGCATGTGTAGAGGATAGTTTTTAGACACAGCCCATTCTATATCTAGTAAATTACTTTTCTCTCTATTACACTTATTTGGTTAATTTACTTACTAGAAAATGAAATAGTAATATGCGTGGTAGTAATTTAATTCTGATGTTAAATTACTTTAAAGCTACACTGTCAGAGTAGTTTAATGGACTACTTGACGTTTCTAAGACGGGTCGTACAAACTTTCACGTGTATTTGTGTTACGCTTTTCAAGAGACAGAAAATCAGTGATAATACATAAAGCGAACTTGTTATGTAGTTAGTAAGTTACGTTACATTCTTTTCTTAATACTGATTTTATTAACAGTATTAATTAAATAGTTTAATGTGTAATATATCTAATTTTATTTATTAACTTATATTTATATAATTACGTGCTGTTTATTAATTACGATTTCTTCGAGTTGTCAGCTTAGTGTATAAATTTAGGGTTAACCTAAACCTATCTCCTAAGCTAGCCAAACCTAGTAAGTCTTATTATTGAGATTATCGCCAACAATATCACCAACTGCGAGAATATCCAGCTGATGAATCAATCCATGCTAATTGTTGTAAAGTCAATCCGGAGATATAATGTTTATTAAACAGTAAAATACCTAAAGTTTATTTGTCTTCATATGATAAACAATGTTTTATAAAATGAAAGTTTTGAATTATTTCTAAGTGTGAACGTCGTAGTTTATTGCCTTACAGTATGGAACACAGGTTGATAGATTGTTTCAGCGTTTATACGTGCACTGACTGACATCTGAATTAGGTCTCCTTCTCTAAATACTCATTCACCATGTTTATATTATTCAAAATTGACTTTACCCGTCGGATATGCCATTTTTTAGACGAACTTCAAGTTTTGCAACAGTTCCGGTCATGTGACTTCTTTGTTCAATACTCTCTATATATATATCCGTGTCTGTGTAAATTACTTGTACCTGATGATGACAAAACCTTTCGAAACGTTGTACGTTTGCTGTTATGTTCAACTTATATTAAAGTTTTTCTTCATTACCCATTCAAGCCGTCTCCAGCCATTATTAGTCACAAAGTGGGTTTCTCGTCATCGAATTTGAACTTCAACTTAGTTTTTCCCATGATGATCTTATGCAAACATATGTGAAACAATTGAAGCCCATGATCTTCGCCTACTCCAAGCTGCTGTCGTGATCCAACCATGTATTCGGTGTGAATCCGAGCCAATAAATTATACTCGAAGCTCTAGTATTATGCAGGTATAGCTGTTTAGCTAAATTGCCCCCCAGTGGCACAGCGGTATGTCTGCTAGAATCCGGGTTTCGATACCCGTGGTGGGCAGAACACAGATAGCTCATTGTGTAGCTTTGTGCTTGATTACAAACAAACAAACAGACTAAATCATTAATTTTTTTTAGTAGAGTCCTTGCAGGTGCAGGTACTAACTACTTTTGCTTAAGTACCTTGAGTTCGTTATGCTTAAGACAGAAAACAAATTGAGAGTTATATTAATAATGTGATTAAGATAGCTTTAAGATATTTAGAACAATTTCTGATAATTTGAGAATGGAAATAGAAACTGGTTACTAAATATTTTATTTATTTTCGTGAATTCTAATTGCTCACCTTGAAAGATTTTTTTTCTAGAGATCACTTATCATCTTAAATTGCTGTTTTGTTTTTTGTTTTAGCTATCTTGACGATGAAGACGATAATAGTTGTTATACCATTGTGTCTCTTGCTAATTACCACAAGTGTGGAAGGTGGTAAAGGACTAGGTGGTCTTGGCGGAAAAGGTGGTGGTCTAGGACTTGGAGTTCTTTTGGGATCATTACTTGGCGGCTTGGGAGGGGGAGGAGGAGGAGGATTGAGCATAATACCTCTACCTTTGCCACTACCACTCCCGCTTCCAATTCAGTCTGAGTAAGTTGAGAAGAATCGGTTATCTTTTTGTAATTAATATTTCATATGTGTGTGTGCAAAGCTTGTAATCAGTTTCATGGATATTTGTTTTGTAAATCATAATTTATTTTCAGTGTTAATATATATATGTTTAATTATCAAGTGAAGCTGAAACTGTGTGAATTTCACTATTGTCTGTTTGCTTAAAGATGTAATTATACATTCTTTTCTTCAACTTATCTCTATATATATTACACTAAACACTTTACGTCATTTGTCATATCTCTAAAAGGTTACCTTGGATTTAGCTTTATCTAGTCCTGTTTTTATAGCAAACAGTGTCCAAACTTAGCAGTTTTTTCAACGGGTTTGGGTAATTAATTACATAAGTTTTGTTATTACAAACCTACCCATGTCGTTCGTTAAAGAAATCACCACTTTATGTTAATACAATCGTTCAAGAAAATAGTTTCATTTCAAACTTTGGAGCCCACAATATCTTTTTTATCCTCCATCTTTGGATTCGTGACTATTCAATTTTTTTATCGTTTGCATTTGTGCGGGTGAAGAGCCTGCATGCAAAAACTGTGGGAGGAGTTTAAAAATCAAGTAAACATTAAAATACACACATTGGTGAAACCGAGAAATACTATACAGATTCATTTTTATAATTTTAACTTATTCATAATAATAGAAAAACTTTCCTGTAGACTAAAGAATTTAGTGGACTTTTTTAAACTTCTTCTTTTTTCCAACGAGAAAAGAAATTAATTGTTTCTTAGTTTAGTGCAAACATTTAATATGTTAACAGTATAACAATTACAGTTTCATCAACGATGCTTGAATCATTGAAAACAACAACAACAACACAGTTTTGTCCATGTGTACATCTCATCTTATTGGAGAATTTTGCTAAATTAACACAATCATTGACGACGTATTGATGTTTTCGATTTAATGGCAATAATGTTAAATACGTTTTTATATATATTTTTCCTTTTTTCTTAGAAAAACTGTCGTGAAAAGCTACCCGATACCTGTCCACACACCTATTCACTATCCAGTGCCTTATCCAGTTTACCTCCACAGCCATAGTCACAGCCATCTTCATACTCAAAGTTACGGAGGTGGTCACGGAGGGTATGGTGGAGGTGGTCATGGAGGATACGGTGGTGGTGGTCATGGAGGATATGGTGGAGGTGGTCATGGAGGATATGGTGGAGGTGGTTATGGAGGATATGGTGGTGGTGGATACGGAGGTGGTCATGGAGGATATGGTGGAGGTGGTTATGGAGGATATGGTGGGGGTGGATACGGAGGTGGTTATGGGGGTTACCACTAAACAACAATTTTATGATTCACTCTTGAATCTTTCAAGAAAACACACACTCACTACTAAATTGTCTTTGAACATTATATGTACTTGCTAATATAACGATATGGGATCTTATGCAAACTTTTATGTCTAGGAACATTATATGAGCAGAGTACGTGTTAGTTACTTCGTGGTATATAACTTCTTGTTTTTATACATTCAAAACCTACCTCTCTAGTAACGTACTGAAAGAATATTCGACGTATTCATGCAAAATATTGGCTCAACTGCCCAAACTTAATCTCTCTTCCGTCTATACAAACCTTGAAGTGTGGTGGGAAATAAAACCGCATACTTTGATATTTAATTCATCACCAAGAATTAAATGAGAGCTCGGCACAGCGGGCCTGTACATCCAGGATAATATTTTATACAACTTTCAAAGAGACCGTAAAATATAAATAGAGTAACAACTTTTTATAACACAACATAAATCACTAATATTTAGGATAATCATAATATTACAATAAATCGTAGCTGTACGTTATATATATACATACATATTTCATGAAGTTTTAAGGTTATTAAAACATCACATGAAGAAAGTTAAGAATTTGTAATAGATTCTTAAGCCTAATTCATTCCCGAATGAATGAATTTACTGTATAACTACATAGTCAAGAATTATCGACAGTTTGGAAAAAAAAATCACACCTGATCAATAAAAAGTTCTCCACGTGATTAGCACAAGAGATATGTGTCCACCAAAAGAACGATCACGTCACTGATGTTTGTCTATTAGGGAAATTAGCAGAGTTGTTATGGATTTTAAGTAAGAATTATACTACTTATTTTGTAATGTATGGGCTAATATGCGGCTTCAGATAAAATCAAAGACTATTTCACTTCTCTTATTTTCAATGCAACAATTCTTGTAAATATTACGATTTAAAAAACTTATACGAAAAGACAGAGTGTAAATATAATTCCAAGCTCAACAACTGTATTTTCAACTGTCTAACTTTATGTGTTTTTTTAACAAGAAATATTTAAAAATACATTTAGTATGGATATATGTTGTTGATGATGAAGTTTTTTTTAGCACAAAGCTCTGTCTGCCGGGGAGAAACATACCCCGCAATTTTAACGTTCTTAAGTCCGTAAACTTGCACATGGTGATATATGTATATATGTGTGTGTGTGTGTAATATAATATAAGTATCAAACCTTAACAAATAATCCAACATTTATACGGGATGTATTAGTAAATTCTTAATTTTGCGTGTATATATATATCTATGTATATGTATCTACAGTACCTCAATATATGTATTCGATTTTTGTATATAAAAGTTGACATGATAATTCTCGTTTCTCAGTTGTTTGTATTGTTGTCTTTACTCTAGCTGCGTATAGGGTAATTTTATAATATACTCTAATTATAAACTATTTATCAGGTAAGTGTGATAGGGAAGTCTTTTGGTGGATATTGTAAAATACGTAAACTGTATGTAGGGATGGCCAAGGTACTCAATAGGCATAATACAAATATACACTCTAAAATCAACAATGACACAAAGCTTTACTTTGAAAGATGATTGTCACTCACTTTCATTTGTTTTTATATCCAACAAACCCCAAAACAATGTAAGAAACCATCGCTAAGATACCAACTGTTCATCTTTCTTCTTGTTGTGTCAGTCGAGAAAACTCTACAACTACTTTGTCACTAACGTCAGTTTAAGCCTAAACCCATTCTATGTGTTTCTGGGCATTGCACGATGTCATCGCTTAGTTGTAATAACTGGTAGTAATTTTAAAAAATCATAATTATAGTGTAAACGATGTTATCATTATCCCCTGAAGTCGTTTTTTTTTACAGAAATTTGTTGTTCCTCTAAAAAGCTTAAGTACAGGGTGAAACAAGAATTACCAGCCTGTAACAGATAAACATTATATGACTGTAACCTGTAGAATACTCAATGCTTTGTACACTATACAATAGGTGTCTTTAGGGAACCAACCCTTATATTATGTATGAAGTAAAAGAGTAAAAAAATCAATACACATAATATTAAGTTTTATTACACACATTCATAGAACATACTAACTTTCAGTTAGGCGAAAAAACATCACAAAACAAGTAATGAAAACATTTTGTAAATGTAAAATGATGTAAGGATGGCATTACCTAAAAGAATGTAAACAAGAATATAGGGGTGATACAACTATACATAGATCCTCGTTACATGACTTTAAATATTAACATTTAATGTTACACTGTAAAATGGACACTTGACTTTAACATTACTGTAGTTTGAAGTTATATAATCCTGACTGTTGATATGCAGTTTGTATGTCATGGTCATGTCAGTGTAAGCATCAATGTAGCGTAACTAAAAGCCTAGGACTTACGCAAAAGTAAAACCAAGTTGAGTCAAAACATGTCTTGATTATTACAAACTATTACAGACTTTGACATGACCATGATATAATAATAAACAAACTGCATACCAACAGTCAGGAATATATAACTTCCAACTGCAGTAATATTAAAGTCAAGTGTCCATTTTACAGTATAACATTAAATTTTAATATTGAAACTTATGTAGGGATGATCTGTGTATCGCTGTATCATTCCTATATTCTTGTTTGCATTCTTTTTTGGCACTGCCATCCTTACAACATTTTACATTTACAAAATGTTTTTATTACTTATTGTATCATTCACACATTTCTTTCTTTCTGATACACACATAAACATTACACATAGTCATGCGAAGGTTATAAAATCTTAGATGAACTGAAACATGCTACATGTATGTTGATCTAACAATAAATACCGAGCTAGAAAATATTAGGGTTATAATGCATATATACACCTTTAAATATCAAACTCTCCTGACTGACATTTTAACTGTAATTCTACATAATACTAACAATTGTAGTAATGAACTCGTCCCCACTAACAATTGTAGTAATGAACCTGTCTCCATTGAATCTTCATGTGAGTCCCTTTGTATCAGTATGGTGATTATAATGTCAGCAACTGCAACAAAAAAGATTGAACGAGGAAAGAGCACTGTATATGGGAAAGGGAATGTTTATTGTATGCAGCATGGGGGGTATCAATGTCCATAACAGTTTTTCTCCTGTAAGGTGTTTAAAATTAATTAAGTTGCCCAAAATTAATCACTCTCCAATCCATATTAGCTTTAAAGCATGCTGTAAGATGAAACCACACACATTTAATCCATCACCATCTATTTAATGAGAGCTCAAGACAGCAGGCCTGTACATCCAGTGTGCGCAAGGAACTACATGTTGCTAGATTTTATGGACAGATTGCAGTCCATAAGCTCCTCATGACAGTCATGAATGTGTAAGGCGTGAGCTCTTATGGTTTATAACTGGAGTGGAGGACAATGAGATAGAATGACATATCCCGCTATTCGATCCCCAGCCGCGAAGACTGGTGTGCGTGTGTGTGTAGAGGGGGGAATGCCCAAAAAAACCCACTTTCACTGATCAGGCCCCGAAAAGTAACATGAGAAAGAAGATGAGTCGTGGAATGATCTTAATACGGTTTAGGATTGTCATGGGGTAGTCGACTGGAATGGGGTATGGCGGAACTGATAAAGTTTACTGAAGGGAGGCTCTTGGTATGTGGCGGGATTGAGGATATCTTCGTTGTCGCTGTAAGAAGGGCCGGGTGGTTTTGGTGTCGTAGTTCTGGTCGAAGGACCAGGGAGATTCGTCGAAGGTTCTTGTGGGGGGGGGCGGTGGTGTAAGATTGGCGATGCCAGAACTAGCGTTGGAGGAATTAGAGTCGATAGGCGGCTGGGTCTGAGTTGCTTTTTTTTCTTTGGATCTGTTTGGAATAAGTGGTTTGATCATCAATATAATTGTGTTTTTTTTCGTGGTGGAAGAGGCTTGGAAAAGGGGTGGGTTGGTTTGTGTGGACTGAAAGAGGCTTGGAAAAGGGGTGGGTTGGTTTGTGTGGACTGATCTCTGTTTGTTTTCTTTGGTCTGGCATTAGCTGGCTTGTTGTTGAGTAGAAAGGGGTGGATTGGTTTGTGTGGACTGATCTGTGGTTGTTTTCTTTGGTCTGACATTAGCTGGCTTGTTGTTGAGTAGAAAGGGGGTGGGTTGGTTTGTGTGGACTGATCTGTGGTTGTTTTCTTTGGTTTGGCATTAGCTGGCTTGTTGTTGAGTAGAAAGGGGTGGGTTGGTTTGTGTGGACTGATCTGTGGTTGGTTTCTTTGGTTTGGCATTAGCTGGCTTGTTGTTGAGTGGAGATGATGAGGTTGGCGGAGCTGTAGTGGTGGGGGACGTGGTTTACGGCTTGGCTTTTATCTTTATATTTTACCGCTTAGATGTCTGTCTACAGTTAACACAACAGTAATTCATCTTTATATTTTACCGCTTAGATGTCTGTTTACAGTTAACACAACAGTAATTCATCTTTATATTTTACCGCTTAGATGTCCGTTACAGTTAACACAACAGTAATTCATCTTTATATTTTACCGCTTAGATGTCTGTCTACAGTTAACACAACAGTAATTCATCTTTATATTTTACCGCTTAGATGTCTGTCTACAGTTAACACAACAGTAATTCATCTTTATATTTTACCGCTTAGATGTCTGTCTACAGTTAACACAACAGTAATT